TTTGGAGGAGCTAGACTTTCAACACTGACTGTGATGCAGCACGAATGAAAAGCTAAGGATGGGAGAGATCCAAGGACTGTTTGGAAAGCGAGAAAAAAATGGCATACAAATACTCTCTTTTTCACCTCTAGCTGGGTAAGAAAATAATCTGTAAAATCTGGAAAAATCATTCACTGGGAATGAGTTTGCCTCCAGGGGAGCCAGTCTGCGTTGCCACCTTCAACCACGATTCCAGGACACGAGTTCCTGTTGATCCTGACCACTATCAGATATATACTGATCTCTATACATTACTTAAACCATATACTCACCCCACGAAGCATAGGAACTCACAGCTGAATTAACACTTTTTGGTTTCGCTTTGTACTGTAGGATTTACTTTTGTGTTGCAAGCAGAATTCCCCAGGCACTGATACTTGTCCCCTGGCACAGATGATGTCCTGCCAGATGGAAAATCTGTCAACGTTTTTTTGCGTAATGAAGTCTTTACAAATATTTGGCTCGTTGCCATAGTTGTTTGGCACAGACTGCAGAAAATGTGGAAGCTTCACTCATGCATAAGGATTCATCTGCTTACACTACAATTTAAGGGGTGAACAGTCATTAGGAGAAAAGGAATGCTCTAGATGTTCATATAGCCTTGAATTACGTGAAAATCGTGAGTGAATGCACTCAGAGATTCATGTAGATAGAAACCAACTAATTTGGCTATTTATTTTAACTTTTTTAGAGTAGCTAAGTGTCCAGCCAAAACCCTTAGGTGCATTGCCATGTCTTAGAAAGTTATCCAAAAAGATACTGCACAAATGCTTATCTGGAGCTCAGCTTAATATTAAGACTCCTCATATTTGCAATTGATGACTTGAGCCGTAGGGAGATTTTCGGAGAGAGTTTTGTTTCCACATCCAGTTAGACACATAGTAAAAGCTGCCTTTAAAAACAATAAAGGGATTTATGTCTGTTTAGGCTTCCTCTTTTCACAAAGTGTGCAGGAGCTGAGTTATCTTACAAGTTATCTTACGAAGCCTTCTGTCACATTCTGCTGATGTTGACCAGTGGGCTCAGATTTTACTCGGAGACCACATGGTGTGATAAAACACACATTTATTTTTTTTCTTCCCAGGAAAGTGAGGCAAGTATTGGGACGGCCATATGGAAACAATCAGACTCAGAATGAAAAGTAGTGGTTTTACGACAAAAAGGAGTCAATGGTCTCCTCATATTATTTCATCTCCTTTTACTATAGATCGCGTTCCAGTGCACAAGCAGAGATTTGTGCATGATCAGTTGTGTTCCTAAGCAGATGGATTGTTTGCCATTGTACAGCCTGGAGCTTTTATCGGAGCGTATGGCATTATTCCTGGATCTAATTGTCATCATCAAGCCTGAAAGGCACGATTATTATGTATCATCCTGCTCAATTGTTCACTAATAGGGTAGGGTGCTCTTTTACCCGCTTAAAGATGGACGCAGGTGGTTTTGCTGCAATTATTTGATAGAGCTGAGGAGCTGGAAAGGGCTTAGCTGACGTAAAAGTACCGAATGCTTTCTTAAGCACTTAAGCATCGTAAACATCAGTCATCTGGATTCTTTTCCATTTTCCATATTGATTTCAACTAAGACGCTAACAATTACAAAACTTGTGATGAAAACACTTAGCGGCAAAGACTGAATTATAAGGCTATGTTGCTGGCCCTTGGGTAGCCTTGCCAGATCTTTCCGTGACTTCAAAGATGTTGACTCGCACAGGGACAGAGGACTACACCTCATAGGAGTCTTCAGATGAGACCTTTGAAGATGCAGGAACTTTTATTCGTAGTTACTTTCTATCTTCCTGCGGCCCGAGGAGGAGCCAGTGCTATTTCACAGTGGTTAAAACTGCCCCCTAAAATGTCTGTTTGTCTGGACTGTCTGCTAGAGTAGCAGGTACTGCTTACCTGGCCCTGCAACGCTGGTAGCTGACAGTAGCGGCTTTTTATAACTGGTTTTAAAACTATCTTACATAGATAACCATTAATCTTAGAAGTGACTCTCCTGGGCTTTCTGTTATCTCCAGTATTTTCTTACTTTGGTCAGAATTTTATGTTCAGAAAGAGTTATAATTTTGTGCCATAGGAGGGTGTAACAGATTAAGTTTCATGTGTGCTCTGCTCGGTTGCCAGCCAGGAAAGTAGCGTTCTCTTATGCACAAGTAGGGGCTCTTAAGTATTTCTGTGAATTTATAGACTGTAGCCAATTCGCTTCAGGGCACAGTATATTTAGCATCTATTAACAGAAAAATCAAAGGGTTTGGTTATCAATACCTTCTGGGGACATCATAAATCCTGACATGATTCACCGAGTTCTAATCGTTTTCTCGACACTTTTTATCGTACAGGTTCATAGCCAAGAACATTACGAGGCTGCAGCGTCTGGGGATAACCCATGTTCTGAACGCAGCAGAGGGGAAGTCATTCATGCATGTGAACACTAATGCCGAGTTCTATGAAGGCACAGGCATCAGATACCATGGCATTAAAGCTAACGATACACAAGAATTTAACCTCAGTCGCTATTTTGAGGAGGCAGCTGATTTTATTGAGAAAGCACTTTCCCAGAAGGATGGTAAGGCAAACTGAAATGTCTTTCTACCCTGTTTTCTGTGCACTGCATATGTGTCTTAGCAATTTATTTTACTGTTTAAAATGGCTCTTTGCTCAGATTATCAGCTGAACCACCAAGTCAGGAATTCAGATCAAGGCTCTGGATCAAAGACACCAGAATACACAATAAGACATCTTGATCTTCTGTCTATACATGTAGGTCTCCAGTATATGGCAAATGGAAGTTTGTCACTGTAGGGGTGACTTCAGAAAGTGAAACAGTTGCTGCATCTTATAATAGCACCTTTCTGGGAAGATGTGTTGTTATTTTTCCTTAGAAGTGGTATATCACATGAAAAAATCAGAAAAATAAGTTCAGGATCTAAAAGTTGTTTTAGGACACTGGAAATTATAAATTAAAGGCAGAAGTGATACAAGTAATGCATTGCTGAAGAGTACTCACACGACCTGCTATATGGTTTTTATTTCCACGCGTACAGTAAGGATAGAGACTGTGGCCCTCCAATTTTTATTTCATTAAGTCGTTAAATGATTTTATGTGATGATTACCCCTTTGTTCCCTAGGATTGCAGGAGGGCTGAAGATGATATTTGCAATGTTGTTGATTGCCACATTTCTCTAGCGTGTTTCCTCAGAGCAGAAATCCTAGGACACAGTGCAGTGGGCCAGATGGTGTTTGTTGTTGCCTGACGATTTCAGCATACCGGTTATTTCTACACATGCTTAATTTCTTTCTTGCTTCATGACTGAATGTGAAAAATGAGGAACGAGAACTCCCACAATTCTAGAAGTTCTTTCTCTGAAATGGGCAAAAGGGGTACTAGAACTGTGATGTGCTTGTGACAGATGGAAAGAAATTTTACTTCCAGTTTGATGGAGTATGAAAAATTCTAAAAATTGAAATGTGACTCTGCCAGTTAGCATTGAGTCTCACTGAAACAGGTTGCAGTAGGAAAGAAGAGTTTAACAGCGCCAGCTGTGCCATGACTGTCCCTGCTCTGTTTGATCTAAAGAGTTGCAGAGTCAATCTGAATTTACAGTAGCGGTTCTGTTTGCTGATCCTTTCAGTCTTAGTAGTTGTCTGCCATGCCTGCCACTGTTTTCTTACTCTGGTAAACAAAGAGGAACTTTGTAGCTGGGTGATGCTGGAGCCAGTTTTAAGATCAACTCATTACTGACATTCGATAGTTTTGTTTGACATTGAGGTGTAGGGTAAGGACAGTGAAGCGAAGAGGGATGCAGTAGTATTTGCCTTCAGTTTCATTTTAGCATCGTAGTTGCATGAAGTTCTGGAAGGCGGGTCTGCTATACTAAAGGTCTGGAAGGCAGCCCTTAAGACACTGCATTTCACAGAGGAAGGCTAGACACCCTTTTGCTTCTGATCATTTGCAGAGGGGAAGTCAACTCTCTTCCACATATATGATCACGAATCTCTAAATCTTGCTAATTTATGGCTATGGGCTCTCAAGAAATGCTGAGAATGAATTGTTTTAGCTTTTTAACTTGCTACCGATTAGCGGTTTGCCTTGAGCTGAGAAGCCTCTGCAGTTCAAGGCAAATGGGCTAACAGGCTTTCTGTTGCTGTAGTTCAAAGCAAGTTGTGGTTATGATGAAAATGTGTGTCTATGGTTCATCTGTTCTCTTGTCTCAGAAAAAAATTTACTCTGGAGAGTAGCCTGGGGCCATATCTCCCACTGCATTTGGGAAGGGGAAAATTTTTGTGTCTGGAAAAGCAGGTCAAAGAGGAAGCCGCTGAGAAGCAATAAAATCGAGTTAGCTTTCTCAAAGGGAGCAGTGGCCTGCTTTATTGTTGTTGGATAGCTGCCTACAGGATTTACCCATGTGGTGGCTGGACGCCAGCTGCCCACCGAGCCGCTCTATCGCTCTTCCTCCTCAGCTGGACAGGGGGAGAAAAATACGACAAAAGGCTCCTGGATCAAGATGAAGACAGGGAGATCATTCAGCAACTACCATCATGGGCAGAACAGACTCGACTTGGGGAAATTAATTGAATTTATTACCAATAAAATCAGAGTAGGATATTGTGAAATAAACCCAAATCTTAAAATGCCTTCCCCCCCATCCCTCCCTTCTTCCTGGGTTCAACTTCATTCCTGATTTTCTCTACCTCCTCCCTCCAAGAGGCACAAGGGGACGAGGAATGGGGGTTGCGGTCAGTTCATCACAGGTTGTCTTTGCCGCTTCTTCCTCCTCGCTTTCTTCCCCTGCTCCAGCGTGGCGTCCCACCTACAGGACACAGTCCTCCACGAGCTTCTGCTTCATAAACAGCCAGAGAAGTAGCCAGGTATGATCCAACATGGAGTTAGCATAGGAATTGACAGCAATGCAGCAAAAAGGCTGGATATCTTTGAAGAGATGCAATATATGACAAACAGCATATTTCTCTGTCTTCAGTGTATTTTAAACTTCGCATCATTTATTTGTGCTCTTTGGTACTGGTCATCTTTAGGGGCAAGGCTTACTCTAAGCCACAAAAGATTGGAGAAATGTAGCAAATAGACACAATTTGACTCTTTGTAATATAGCAGCAAATGCGTTTTAGTGTGAATGTTTGATATACAACCATTTTTTTTCTGCATTATGCTTGATGACAGACTGTGTAGCTACTAACAGAGCAATAGCACCTTCCAAGTTCTACATGTCTTCTGTAGCATTCAGAATTTACGTTTCTTAAGCTGCTGAAGGACTAATATTATTATGCTTTATATTCTAGCTATTTCATGTTGCTTTTCAAACATATATTCCAGTATAACCCAAATTATGACCTGTCTTCCCTGCAGGACAAGTGTTTGTGCATTGCCGTGAGGGTTACAGCCGTTCTCCTACACTGGTCATCGCCTACCTCATGCTTCGCCAGAATATGGATGTCAAGTCTGCATTGAGCACTGTCCGGCAGAAGCGAGAGATTGGCCCCAATGACGGCTTTCTAAGGCAGCTTTGCCAGCTCAATGAGCAACTAGTGAAGGAGGGCAAATTGAAGCCCTAGAACAGAGCACCGTAGTATTTTTTTTGAAGTTTCTCAGACCATCATAGGACGTCTTAAGTGCTTTAGATTCCCAAACCCCAACCACCAAGCTAAATCGCATGATGTGAGGGAGACAGAATTCCTGCTCTTGCCTAGTGAAAGTATCTTTCTCGAACTCTGGGTCTGTCTTTCAAGATGGCACAAAATTGTGTCACAGTTTGGAGCTGTTGCAATAAAGAGGTGTTTTTAGAGGGTAACTCCAGTGATAACAGCTGTCTTCAGATGTATTTCAGAGCCCCATAGCATATGTGGTTTGCATTGACATTGAGTGTGATTCATTTAAGCCTTGTCTTGTGTCCCGCCAGAGCACCGTTTTCTGAGAGCCCCAACACATCTCTTCGCTCACTCTTAATTGAAGTACTGTATTTTCTAAAGCTTCTTTTTCATGCACACAGGTGCCTAAAGTTTTGAGTGTAGGAGCTTCAAGGAATGGAGAAGCATATATACAAATGCACAGATGCACTTGCTTGTAAAATGAAGCGTATCCAGTGTTGTGTTTAGTGTGGATTTATGCAATACACAGTGTGTGGTAGTAAAGCCATTCAGAGCCCAATCTTGATGCACACTGTATTTCCAAGAATATTTGTACCTCTTGCTGTTGTGATTGACGTGAAATAGTCTGATATTAAATGCTCTTTTATTTTTGTTTTGAAGTCGCACTAGAAAAAAAATGTTAAGAGCAAATGTTGAGGAAAAAACTTGAGCAAGGGAGAAATAATGTCTGTATTTCGGAGTGCTTGTACTGGATGTATGATAAAGCCTAAGTACCAGAATATAATGGCTCCCGAGGCTTGTACTGAGTTACTGTGTCTCTCTCCCTTCTTCACCATCGCTGTTTATGAACGTAGAATGGGATGAGCACGCACGCAGATTACTTCCAGTAGGGCAGCACAGGTGTGCTTACCAAGCAGTTTGCAGAAGTACACTCTTGACTTCATGGATTGCTTGCGTGGTGTCATTAAATAGAAATGAGCGTTGTTACATGCCACATGGAATAGGAAACATTTCCCTTCTATTAAAATAAATGATGTCTTGATTCTGTTTGACATAGAGATGAAGTGAGTCATTGCAGTGTTGGGAGAGGGAGCTTTGTTTACAGCGTGCCTGCCTTAGCGTGTGACTGTGTACCTGCGAGTTACAGCGCTGTCGTAACGCAGAGGATCTCCCACTGCAAGCTCGGAATTGTTGGTTACACTAACAGAACCTGAGATGTATGTGTTCCCTTTGTATCTGTGCTTTAACGTACTTCGAGATTGAAAATCATAACACTATTGTAAACAGAAACACTGTTGTGTTGTGTGAACACACAGGTTTACTCCTGGTTGTTGGGGCTGTGTGGTTTGGGGGGGTGGGAGTGGCGGCGGGGAGCTCTGTGTAGCTAGATACATTTCTTGAAATTAAACTCCAGGGGTGATTATTCTGGTTGAAGCCCAGGCTTTCTGTTTCCTTACGCAGGATGGCAACTGCCAAATCAAGTAGCCTGTTCTCTTTTGTGTCCTTTAAAGGGACAACTGGGAAACGCTCTCCATAATGTTTCCTTTCAGCTCCCTGCAGCCAGTCAGTAGTTACTGCTTGCTTTGAATCAGGATGGGTAAGTAATAACGAGCAGTAGATAACTTCACTGGCTGATTACATACCTGTCTCCTTTCTCCTGTTATATCAGTATTAAATGAGCTGCTTCTTCAAAACCCCTAGTTACGAATGTCATGCTCTGTAGCTTGGGGAATAGGAATACTGGCCTTATCTTTTCTGCCGTACTGACTTTTTTGTACTGCAGTCTTATTTATAAATCATCCTTTTAAAATTTTTACTATGGGCATAGATTTTTTTTTTCTCTCTCCCCTCACACCATGTATTCATAATACCTACCTGCACTACAAGAAAAAAAAGACAACCAAAAAAAAGGAGATTCGTGTGGATGCACTTTGTCTTTGACCTGTTACTTAGAACTCAAAAATTCCAGTCCATTAAAGAGCTAAGAAACCATTAGGCATTACATTTTTGATACTCATTCATAGATTGTAAGAAGGCTAATGGTTGTCAGATTAAAAACAGAATGGTTTCTTAAAATTGAGTCTGTTTACCTTATGGTGATGTTTCTGTATTTGTCAGTATCAAGAAATACTGACAAATCAAGACATACAGGAATTTGTTCTTACATTCCAGATGTTCTTTTAATTCGTAGGACACCGCTCACTTCTGGTGGTAACTCCAGTGATACTCCGGCCCGTTTATCTCGGTATAACAAAACTGATTTAACAAACGTTTTGTAGTGTGAGGGTGGAGAGGAAGAAATAAAACAATGTTAGAAACTGATTTTAAAAACTGAGCTCCGAGATGGTATATCCTGTTTTGAGTGACTCAGTAATGAAACCGTTTCTAGCTCTGCTGTTAGAGTAGGCTAAAAATAGTTAGCATGTCAGAGCACTGCTCCGTTAATGGATCATACCCTTCCTCTTTTATCTTGCTGTTTAAGTACTGTCATGTTGCAAATTCCTCTGCCTATTTTAGCTGCCCAAGAAGAGCTTGTATGCCTCTAATCAATAATGATACGCTGTATACTTCTAAATTTCTGATTGTAGAAAGAAAGATCGTATAAAAACAGGAATGAGAGCGTTCTTTCCATGTAATATGAAATTGAGAAAGTCTTGGAAGAAATACACCTTTTTATTCTTCTGAAATTAATGCACACCTTGTCATTTAAAACAGCTGTTTGTTGCAAGTAGCAATGCTACATTTTTGGAGTTGAAACCTCTTGGTTATGGCTAAAATAGCGTGATCTGGATTTACATTTATGTGTTTATCGTGAATGGCGGCGTGGTACTTTTCGTCTAGCCAGCGCTCTGGAGAAGGGATGGGGTCTCTGTAAAATATGCGTCTGTCGTAGACCAAAGATACCTACCATGTCAAATCCAGCACAATGAAATAAAAAGCAATAGCTTGGGTTTTTTTGTACTTAAGAATGAGTGAAGTTGGAGAGGGGGAGAAGTGTGGAGGTGAGAAGCTGTTAGCATTTTATAGCAAGGAACAAAGAAAGTCCATATAGATAAAATGATGATATATGTAAAACTAAATTCACCTTCTACTCGTGCTGTACTAAATCTTTCTCAGCCGTTGCATAAGCACAGGAGAGAAGTTTGTAACTAAAAATTAAGGTTCAAAGCAAAAATAACATTTTTCTGAGTGCTTTCTTCATCCTTTGGTCCTGCAGCTGAGACGGCAACGTTGACAAGAAGTGCCGTGCCTGCCATGCTACTCTGAACCATAGGTGCTGTCAGAAGACACTTCGTGAGAGAAGGCTGCAACGCGTCGCTGCTGAAACGCAGACATCTCATGAAGTTATTTCAAACTTACAATTAATAGCATCCGAATGCAGGACGAGCAGCCACAATGTATTGTGTTGTAATTCCATTTGCGGATGTTGAGCCTGTGTTCGTATTGGACGCGTTTTTTGCCTACAACACGAGTATGCCTGGCTTACCTCTCTTGGTGATGTGAGAATTAATTAATCTTCGTGAAAGGCTTTGCAGATGAAAAGCACCGTGTATAGGAACACTACATGCTCCCTGGGTTGAAAAACGAACGTGTGTCAAATACATCTTCCTCCTGCTGAGCAAAGGAGAGCAGCAGAAAGGATATTTGCAATGTCTGTTTTCATCATTTAAATATTTTCACTAGGCTGTCTTCTGTTGTCTAGAACTAATTAAATCTCTGATGCTAGAACTAGAAGCAGGATTTTTTCCTTTGTTTTTTTAAATTAGTTCTGCTAGTTTAATGTTTTTAGCACAGAGGGACTATCTAATGGAATCTCACTTCGTATAGCACAGAGGTTTCTTCTAAAATTACTTTCTGAGCTTTGCCAGCGAGCAAAACTGAAAATAGAACAGGCCTGCGAGGTATCTTCTGAGGGTTTGTCTGTGAGAGCTGGCGTCCTGTTCATTTCTTCTGTTCTGCAAATAGATGCTGGAAGTGCAGATTGCGTGAGTAATTCCATTAAGTGTTGGGGGGTTTATGATTTTAATTCCAGTATGCCAGGGCTGCTGGCTGGCTGACTCACCAGGTGGAGCTGTAGGCTTGCTGTTCTTCACTCCACCATCATCGTTCCAGCCCTGAACAGCGCTATTGTGTGAATCCAATGCATTCTTGTCTTGCCACCGAGAAAGGCAAGCCACCAGAATGATTTAGCAGTGCATTTGCTGGTCTCTGGTGGGAGAATACTGAGGTTCCATTTATTCTTGCCTGCTTGGAGGGGCCACATCATAGCACTCAGACTGGTGCATTCGCAAGGTAGTATGTGACTCAGCAACATCCTCATGGGGCAGATAGAAGTCGCTCGGGCGAGGGTGGCTTAGCCGCATCTTAGAGACTGTTTGAGAAGCAGACAAGTGCTTGAACGTGTCAGAAACGGAATTCCTGGGCAGCGTGTAAATTAGGAGCCGTTGTCCACAGATAAGCTGAAACTGCAGGCGAGTATCTTGGGGCCCGGACGCCTGACGGACCCCTTGCTGCACAGCGCGCTCCAGAAGTTACAAGGGACAGAGGCGATCTCGGGAGCTGCTTTACGCGTGCCTGCCTTCGTAGCGCAGCGTCGCAACGCAGGCACGCCGGGGCAGAGGCCCGAGTCCAGAAAGCAGCGGCAACGGATTCAGGCTAAGTATATAATGCCAATTTACTCCTTGTACCTGCTCCCCTAATATGTCTGACTCCTTATGAGCATGGCTAAGGGGGGTGGTTTTTCAGCTCAGAAAATAGCATCCCAGTTCTGAATACAGAGGATCCAAACTCAGTTCCACCCTGGCGGGGAAGGGTTCATCCTGAAAGCATCCTTGAGAGGTCTTTTTTTTTTTTTCCTGTGCTTCATTAACAGTGCAAAAATCAATTGACTGGGGGGGGCTGCAGCCCAGACCACATCTGCTGTGCTGCAGGAAGCACTGTGAGCCGGCAAGCAGCTACAGGACGTGGAAGAAAGATTTTGTAGTTAAGGGATCTGAATGTCTATGGGATTTGGAGTCTTTTCTTGCCTCTGTTCGGCTGTGCTCCTAGCTTGTGGACAAGAAGTTTCAAGCCAGAGGCAAAATATAGCTTCTGAGTTTTACTGTCATAGATTTTTGGTGTTATTTCTCCTGGTGGGTAACACAGATAAATGCTAGGACAGTTAATAGAGGGGATTGTTTAAGTACTCAGAGAAGCTACATCAAAACAAATGCAATGTTTTACGTGCTGTAAATGTGGTTCTCTGTAGTAGGCCTACACTGACTGATGGCTTTTGGAAATACTCTCTATTCAGACATTACATGGAAAGAAATGAACAGAAACGGAGCTTTGATAGGTCCGTACGATTCTGAAGGCATTTAAATAGAGGTGGGAATAGGTAGCAATGGTGATGACCAGCACTCAATTTTCCTCTGCCCTCCTGTTCTGCTTTTCAGCTGTGCTCCGCTCTGCCCCAGGCTGTGATCTCACTTTGGACAAGGTCGCTATTGGTGAGTACCACCACAAGGTGGTATTCCTGTCTGACAAAAATAATACCCAGTTAAATACTTTGGTTCCTGGTCATCCTTCTCGACTTGCTCAGTTTAAAAAAATAAAACAAAAAACAGAACAAAACAAACTGAAAAACCAAAACACCATGTTAAACACTGAAAAACCCCACGCCATGCTATTCCTTTGAGGGCCATTACAAGATCACGTGTCAGTATTTCCACAGAAAAGAAAAAATGGCAGTATTGTAAGGCCTGAAAGCAGAGCTTGAGATCACTGTACACAATTTCAAGTATAACTTAATCATGGTAGTCTAGCCTGTTCTTTGAAGGAGAAAAAAACCCAACCCAACCAACCCAAGTCTGTAAGGAAGGTGGTTCCACAGCTTTCCAAGCCGGTGTCTGTCTGTTCATCAGAATCCTTTTTATTTGGTGGGCAATCCTGCTGCCCCGTGAAGCTGTGTATCCCTTGCGGGTGAATAGATGTCACCTGTAGCCCTAAGCCAAAAATAGACTTACTCGTACGTGAGAAAAATTCTGCTTGGAAAACCGCTTGCAATGGCTGAGTGTTTGGGTTTCCTGTATTTGTGAGACCATCGTTAACGGCTTTGAGGAAAGGAGGCGGTTGTGAATGAAAGATAATCAGCGCTGATGATGATGATGATTATAGGGAAAAAGGAATCGGCACATCTGAGAAAAATTATGTGACAACAGTCTATATTAAAGAATGATATCCTGACTGGCTGTGGAGAAAAAAAGTCTTGTAAAAAGAAAATAGTGTGTTGCATCCCTCCATACAACAGGGTCATTTCTGCGATGGGAGGATGCATAAGGTGTGGGCTGGAGGAAAGGAGGAGGGGGAGCAGGCAGTGAGGGCGCACAGTTGTATGCAACACAGCGCGCCATCGCTTCGAGAGATTCTTCGGAGTATTTGGAAAGGAGAGCTCTTCCTAGAATGCTAATCTATAATTTTTGGGCAGAGAGAAAGGGTAGGAGAGAAAGCATGTCACAATATATTTCAGATGCTATTATTTTAGGAAAGGACCGCTGTACAGAGCAGGTAGGCTAAAGCTCATGAAACTCCGTCCCGCTGGTGCATCTGCTGCGTGCGTCTCTGTGTATGCGTAAGGCTGAAGAGGTGAAATGTCCTCAGGTCAATGCTGCTGTTTAAATCTATTCTTTATCATCAAGGTCACTCCAAGGGAGAATACACCTCCACGTTAAATTTGGTGACCTGCTTTCCGTGCCAGGTCAGGGGAATTGTCGGAACGGAATGCAAGCCTTAGGTAATGAGTCTTACAGTAGGAGGGAAAAGTCAGGCAGTGAATCACTTTTGAATCTCCTCTACACGGCATATTTTCATGAGGATGTACGCAACAAACATTGCAGTGACACTCATGGGTGTCCCTCTACTGCTCTAAGCAAACGTTTTGCTTTCAGTAGCTAGGATGAGCTCAATGCAGTATCTAACCTTACTAAAAGCTGAGATGCTTTCCAATTGATGTATTTAGCCTGACATCGTTTGCAAGTAACTTGAAAGCGTTTGTGGTCTTGAGACAAAAAAATGATGGAACTATCAATCACCACTATCTTATTTTTGCAAGGAAGAAGAATACCGTAGGTGAGATTTAAAGACACGTGAATACATCTTGGGCGCAGGTGCCCTAGACGTAAGGTCATCAGTTCTCTCTGTGTCGGTTGCATCACAAATGGAAATCAGTCCGGTCGTGTTCTTGTGTTTAAAATAAGCAAATGTCCTATATTCAACACTTGCGCAGAATGACAGCAGAAGTAGTAGCATGCAGTGAATTTAAAGCACGTGCAAATGCTTTCTTTTTTTTAAGTGATAAAAATGTGAGAAAGAGCACATCAAAAAGCATGCTGTACAACGTCCTGGCTGTTTACCCTAACTAACATATTCCAAGTAGCCTATTTTTTAAGGAAAACTAAACAAAACAACTTCTCGTTTTGAAAAGAAGCTCTTTCCTGTTTTTTCCAGTACATTTGTGAAACAAAAGGTAGAGCTCCTCGTTTTGTAAAGGAAAAAAAACCCCACACACTCCCCCCCCCAGTCATTTGCCTGCAGAGTCTGAAAAGCCCAGCTCCGGAGCTACAGTTCTAGATTTGCTTACTTTACACCGGGGGCGGGAGGGAAGGGCAAGAGCAACAGTAAAAATAAAAAGTCTGAAAAACCTTTGGAAAAGACAATAGCCAAAGCTTCAAATATGGAGGTAGAAGCAGGTTCTAATTACAACATTGTTAGAAAAAACTGCAGAAAGACACGTCAGGTTGCCATTCATCCCGGTCCTGTCAATCACCACTGTTGCCAGGCACAAAACTGAGGCGCATATGAGAAGTTTTTACATAGAAGTTGTAGAATATTGTCACTAACCCACCCCCACACACCCATTTTATTTCACACTGACAAAAGCTGAGATGAATGAGTTGTTGTCTGGCCCTTCCCACTTTGTATAGTCATTGGCTGGCTTGGTTCTAAAAAGGATTTAAAAAAGGGGAATAATGTGCCTTTGCCTGGGATCCGAGACTGTCAGGGTGCTGAAAAGCTAATCTGTGAGCTGCCACCATGCAGATCTCTTGGGCTGTGTGCTCTGTCTGTCTCTTAATACAAATTGCATTTCGATCTGTGGAAGGGTGGCAAATGTTTAAAAATGATGCTACGGAAATCATTCCCGAGATCACCGAGAATACAGAAACACCGATGGAGCAGACTTTCAGCAACAACAACACAATGAATCAGGCAAAGCATGGAGGAAGACACATACAACAAGCTCCAGACCCTAACGGTAAGAAAAATAACATCCTTATTACTGCTTTGGACCCTAACAGACAGTTTATAAAATAATGCTTGTTATCATATATGTTTGTTTATGAAAACCTTTAGGTGTGGACCTAATGCTGTAAGTGACAGGGAGTTACATCTACTGTTGAAGAAATATCAGTGTAAACGTTAGAGGGGATAAACTGGAGTTTACTGATGAAAAATGTGGTCTATCTATGGAACAATCCTTAGGTACTACAGTATGCATTCCTGTTCTGCCCAGCTGCTCCCCGCAGACACAACTCCAATACATAAAACCTGTAGAAGATATTACTTAGATCTCTCTGGGTTTGTGCTTGCAGGCACTGTGAGGAACTATCACCAGTCATCTTTCCCTCTTTGATGTTAGGATGGGGCAGTGGGTTGACAGTGGAGATACTCATATAAATTCTTAATATTTAGAAAGAGTCACACTCGTGATGTCTAAGCTGATAGAGCAAAAATGGCACATGGAGGTGGCATTCAGGCATAGAGAGAAGCGTGCTGCTCACTGCCCGTCGCCAACAGCCAGATTTTCAGCCAGATTCCAGCAGCCAAAAAAGCTGTCACGACCAGTTCAAGCGCTCCCAAGGGGAATTCCTGCCCGGATGAACTGGAGGGGGCTCTGTTTCGCAGAGGTGTGCCATCTTGGAGTCCGTTTGGCTGCTTAACAGCACTGACGTACTTCATAATGCGTCGTCACTGCATTTGGCCAAACGTGGAACATCAGCAATGGTGCAGAGCACAGGCTTTGGGAGGAGAGGAGGAAGATGGGGAGGTGGCACCAAACAGAGAAAGGTCGTTTTAAAGAAGCGTCCTACTGGCAAATAGGGTGAAGCTGGTCCTCCGGACTGACGCATTTGGCTACCAAATGCATGTAGCAACAAGTCAAACTTACAGTTTCCACTATCGTGCGTTGCAGATCTGAGCTAGCCTTCATTTTCTGGGGACAACTGGAAGCGAATTGTGTTTTTCTGCTGCAGCTGCCAGTTAAGGTGTTTAGAACCATAGCATTAACAGTATTTTAAAAGAAAAAAAAGTAATGTTTTTGAGAGTGCGACTTTATGAGGGTCTTAAATCCCTAAAAGGGGGAGCACACTGCTGCTCACGGGCAGCCCCACCAGCCAGCAGGTCAAGGCAGGTTGGTTTTGTTGTTACCTCTGAATACCTTCATTTTTTAGCCTCTCGCTACTCTGACATCAACTGGGGGGAAGCTGTCCCACTGATATGTGCGTATTTTTTGAAGCAGAAAGCACATTTACTTAAAGAGAGAGTGAAGGAGCCCGGACAGTTATTCAAGATATAAAATGGACACTTATTTTAACATCTTAAACACAAGGAATCAAAATGATGATCCAAAGTGGCCAGACCTTCCTGGGACACAACGTTGCACCAGACCATGAATAATTTTGCAGTATGTGGAACCTGTACACGTGCAGGACAGGACATATATGCACAGAAAATAAGCCTATATAGCTGAGGCTAATGCCCGTATGTTTAACTGTATCTGCCTATGTGCTATGGAGGTACAATGCGCCTGATTCAGAGCATTATTTTTTACGTAGACAGACATAATTTTCTTAAATGCTTAGGGAACTTGGGAGGATTAGACTAAGTGCACGTGGAGTTCAGCTGTCAGCATTTTTGTCACAGTGTTATGATAAGGATTGTTTCATTTCATCAATGCACTCCTTAAAACTTCTAAAAAAATTAAATCTTGCTAGCTGTACTTTGATAAATATAAACCTGAGCGCTAAAAATCACGTTTCTGTACTTCACAGGAAAAACAAAAATTGAAAGGTCTGTACAAATGGTGTTCTGTCACTAACGACTCGGGGCAGAATTCTCTTTTGATGTACTAAGGGGAAGCACGTTGTGCGCAGCCGGGAGAACGGCCCTAGAGACACGGCCTCCTGTTTGTAAGCTGACCTTTGAGGATTTCCACCACCAGTAGCATTCCTGAGTTAAGACTGTCCTTTTGACTAAGAGAAGAACATTAGCAGGTGTTTATCTAGATGAAGTTCTTTGATAAACAGCTTCAAAAATCAAATTCCGTGTCTTCCAAACAAGCCAATTAGCCAAGCACGTCACTTGGCAAAAGAGACACCTTTGGAAAAAGTCTGTTCCTGTAATTGGAAAGTTTTTCTAAATCCTTAATGCTAAAAGAAGTCTTGTGTTTCCTGATGTTTCATTTGCCTATAGGTAGCCATTGAGAAAAAGGGGGGAAAAAAACCACTGTAAGGTTCCTACTCAGCCAGTAGATGCCTCCAGCTGTCTGAAGGAAATCCTGTGGGACGTGTGGGATTATCGCAGAGAGCAGCAATGCCTGACGAGTGGGGATTCCTTAGCACTGCTGTTACCTGCTCACTGCCCTAACCTGGGACACATTGTGCTAGTTAAAAATCACTTAAGGAACACTTTCTGTGTTGCAAAGGAATTTAAATCTGGAGTCAACCTCTGAAGTCAGTAGACTTAAACGAGAGCAACGGGGGAAGGTTTTGCCCGCAGGTAAATGAAGCCAGGAGAATCCCATCAAAATTTCCCATGAAGTGTCTGCTGCTGCTGGGTTACACTTCAGAACCCCCCCTGCACAACCCTGACATGGGATGTACCTAGGGGCAAGAGAAGGATTTTATTCATCAATTTGTACATTGTTATTCAACGGGCTCATAACTCAGAGTAGAGTAGCCAAATATTCAGAAGCTGCAGGAGTGAGCCTTTGGCGATACTCTTCCCAAAACCTGCCATTCACGATGGCCAGCTTGTATCAAGTTCAGAGCTAGATACCTGCTACAGAAGCAAAGAAGCGCTTTCTCAAGGATGGGGAAGAAAGCAGTCGGTAATTAATGTGTTTCTTGTTTGCAGATGCTTCAGACTTCAGCTGCAGAGAAATGCGGACCACCCGCTACGTCACCGAGGGGCCTTGCCGCAGCATCAAGCCCGTCAAGGAACTGGTCTGCTCGGGTCAGTGCGTCCCCTCGCACCTCCTCCCCAACTCCATCGGCAGAGGGAAGTGGTGGCGTCAGAACGCCCTGGATTATCGCTGCATTCCTCCTCCAGCCCGCACAGCGCATC